AAAGTAATTCTTATTTTCAAATATTATTATACCAAATTTTATTTATATATTTTAACAATTTAAAAAAATAGATCAGATCTAAAAAAATGCAAAAATGCAGACAAATTTGCCTATATTGATCTACAATCTAAAGGATAGTAAACTGTCTTTTGTTAATTAGTTGGATTTAAATATCTGTAATTTTGAATATAACCAATCAGGTTCTACTTATTATTGAAAGCTTAAGGCATCTATATAAAGTATAATGTTATATACATATAGAGAAATATTAATAACTAATATTGTATAAAACTTTAATACAAATTTATAATAAGACTACTAGATTTAGAAAACTAAAAAACTAAGAAAACAGAAGCTTACTTAAAAATTTCTAAATAAAAAGATAGTACAAACCTTTGATAATACTATCAAACTAATAAAAATTTATAAAACTCTAATAAGAAATAAGCAGATATGCAATCAGATAACAAGATATATAGAAAAACATAACTAACCAGGCTGTCAAAATCATTAAAGAAAAAAAATACTAAGATATACTATACTGAATTATCTGAATTAGAAATTTGAAAAGTTTGTCAGATTCTGAGTTAAATAATAAAAAGATGAAAAAAAGAAGTCAAAAAGATAAATACTAAAATTTATAAGAGTAGAAATAGTATAACATAGCAGTTAAACAGATAATCCTTGTAACTACAAGTATTAGATAATTATAGTATGTTATATAAAAACTAGGTTAATATGTATAAAACATAAAAACTTTAGTAAGTTTTCTGTCAAAAATAAAGTAATTTTAAGATACTGATAAGTATTAGGAACTTAAATAAATGCAACCTTAAGATGTTTCTGTAATATAAGATAAATTGCATATACAAAGAGTTTAAATAAGCAAGACTCTAAACTGACTTGCAAATATAACATTTAATATAGAACTTATATAAAAATGTGTAAGTAAACTATTTAAATTAGGCACTAAAAATGCATATATGACTAGTTGTAATCTCTTATATAAAGAAGTCCTTGGTGACACCCATGTCCTATAACTTAAATAAAACAGTCACAACCCAAAAATAAGGAACTTTAATATAAAAAAAAAATAAATAAATAAAATAAAATACTAATTTGATTGCTTAAAAAAATATAAAATAAAATAAAAAAATAATAATAAAATACAAAAAACTGACTAAAATCAATAAAAAATTTCATTAATAGTAATATGATCATTCTTCTATGACTTTATGAACTAACTTAAGCCTGGATAGTATCCTAACCATTGTGACAGACCACCTTTGAACACTTTTAAAACAGCCAAAAAATGTTAGACTAAAATTTAAACTAAAATGTATACAAAATATATATATTAAATACTTAATAAAGTGAACAGCAAGGCTGCCAAATGAAAAAAAAAGATATCGGATTTCTGAACGCCACCAAAATTTTAACTACAGTGTGACTCAAACCACCAATCATACCTTTAAGATTAGGTGTATCGTAACACGATCAGAAAAATTCAAAACAAACGTTCGTTTTGTTAAAGATCGCTTATTTCTCAACAAACTGCATATGAAATCACCTTTATGCTCTGACGAAAAGTTTTCCTTAAACGATTTTACTATGTGACCTCCTAATTTCTAAACATAATGTAATTTCTAACTTTAACACAAACGAACTTTAAAGGATTTTTCGGTGCTCCGCACATGATCACGTGCCAGTAAAGTGTTGGTACACGTGATGTTACACAAACGCGTTCTTTGATGTGCAAAACTATAAAATTTTATTCAAGTTAAAATTAGTATAGCTGATTTGAATTCTTTCATATACCGACATGTCTTCGTCACGCCTAGTAATCAAAAAAATGGTCCTTATCAACTTTAAATCGTATTGTGGTCGTCAGGAGATTGGACCTTTTCATAAAGTTTGTATATTTTAACATATGGGGGTGTTAGTAGAAACCAAGTAAATTATTTCTAAGTAAAGTTTTTTAAACTTTGAATTTGATAAAAATATTTTTATTTTAATTCTATATAGTTGTAGAATTAAAATAAAAATATTTTATCAATTTTTGGTTTAATAGTTATTGAGATATTTTAATTCAAAGTTTAAAACAATTTTACTAAAAACAATTTGCTTGGTTTTTATTGACACCCATATATACACTATTGACTTTATTCAGATACATTAACCATGAATGCCACTTTTGTAGTCATTTTCTTCCATTGTTGGGCCTAATGGATCAGGGAAATCAAATGTTATCGATGCACTTCTATTCGTGTTTGGTTATCGTGCGAGTAAAATGCGACAAGCCAAGTTATGTGAACTTATTCACTCGTCACAAGGTTTTCATAATTTGGATTATTGCACCGTTGAGGTGCATTTTCAAGAGATTCGCGATTTAGTAAGATTTATTTACTTAAAATATAATAGATAATTAGTTCTAGTTTATAAATTAACAAGCCATTCATTGTTTTTTTTTAGCCTGGATCAGATGATTTTGAAGTTATTCCTCAGTCGGATTTAATTATTTCGCGTCAAGCATTTAGTAATAGCTCAAGCAAATATTTCATCAACGGGCGATTAAGCACTTATAGCGAAGTAACAACTTTGTTGAAAGAAAGAGGTATAGATTTAGACCATAAACGATTCCTAATTCTTCAGGTAAACTATAAAGTAAACACACTATTCTATTAATTATCATTATTAATAATAAACTTTGATACATTTAGGGTGAAGTTGAATCAATAGCACAGATGAAGCCTAAAGCACCAAATGATCATGAAGATGGACTTTTAGAATATCTTGAGGATATAATAGGAACATCCAAATACAAAGCCCCTATAGAAGAAGCAAGCGATAAAGTAGAAAAATATAACGATGAACGATTAGATAAATTACACCGCGTGAAAATAGTTGAAAAGGAAAAACAGGGCTTAGAGGTATTTTAACTATTCAAAAGCTGAGGATTGATTTATCAATGCTTGCTATCAATCTTTAATTGCGGTGAAAAAAAAAGGCCAAAAAGAAAGAAGCGGAGGATTTCCTCCGAGAAGAAAATATGCTGGCTATGAAAAGATCAGCGCTTTATCAACGACAAATTCTGAAGCTAAAGCATGAGGTCGAAATTTCAGCAAAAGCAGTGGTATGTTTAATAAAATGTGACATATATTAATTATAATTATAGTTTAATAGTTTATGGTATTTCTGTAATAGAACCAATTAAAAGTTAAACTTGAAGAGGAGCAAGGAAAGCACACGCAAATCAAGCAAGATACACAAAATCTAGAAGATAGATACAAGAACTCAATCCAAGAGTATCAGGTTTAGACAATGCTATTCCATCTACTTAAATTTTCATTAGTATATAGATTTACTAGATATTTAATGTTTTAATAGAACTTGGAAAAGGAAACCAACCAGATCATGAAAGAGCTGTCCGGTTATGAAAAAGCAAATATTCATTTAGAAGAAAAAAAGAAACATGCAGTGACGAAACAAAAGAAATTACTCAAAGCTATACAAATTGTATATTTATTTATTATGCAGATTATATTTATTCTTTCAAAACAATTTTTACTCAAACAAACAAAATGGTTTTCTTTAATATAGGATCGTCATGCTCTATCTGAAGCCAAGATTTCTATAAGATACAATGAAGACGATCTGATTACACGAAGTCAGGAAATTGCTCAAGCGGAACAAAACTTAGAAGTTGAAGAGAGGAAGCTTGAAGCAATTAGAGAAGGTCTAAAAGGTAACTCCGTTTTAAATAAATAGAATTATTATTGGATTTTGGTGCGTAGTTTATTTAGAACTTTATTACTTTATTACTTAATCCGCAAGGTAAGACCGAGAAATTCTCGGCTCAAATAGAAGAAAAACAAAGAGAGCTTGCACCATGGACAGAAAAGATAAATTTGAAGCAGTCTGCTATCGATGTTGCTCACTCCGAGCATAGCATTCTTAAAGAAAAGATGGATTCCACAAAGCGTGCGTTAGAACAGGCAGAAAATGAAATAGCTTCGCTTGAAGATACTCGACGTTCAAAGGTATTTCATAATTAATGTAGAATTAAATAAATGCTTATATGGAAAATTGAAATTAAAATTGATGTTTTTAGGAACAAGGAATAATAGCGACTAGGAATAAGATAAATTTGATAAAAAAAGAAATTAACCAATTAGAAGTTCCATCAAAGGTTTAAATCGAGATTTACAATTATTTTCGTGCTACACTATACATATCATTGATTATTACTAATTGACATCCAGGATACCAGCAAAATTCAAGAGAAACTACGTTCTAGCCTTGCAGATGCACGCCAAAAGGAGGAAGAAGCGAGAGCGCTATTACAATCAACTATGTCTAGAGGTCAGGTGCTTACGAGTTTACTCAAACTCAAAGATAGCGGACGTATCCAAGGGCTTTATGTAAGACGTTTACTGACCGTACGATCCCTTTTGCATTATTTGCTTATTTAACATTTTATGTATTATTTTATGTATTAAGGATCGATTAGGTAATCTCGGTGTTATAGATGACAAATATGATGTTGCAGTTTCTACTGCGTGTCAAGCACTAGACAATATTGTAGTTGATTCAGTTGAAGTTGGGCAAAGCTGTATAGAATATCTGAGGAAAAATAATCTAGGTCGTGCTCAGTTTATTCTTTTGCAGCAGCTTTCCTCTATGGATATGAGCCCAATTCAAACGCCTGAAGGAGTTCCCCGTCTTTTTGACCTCATTAGACCAAAGGAGAAAAAGTTTGCACCAGCATTCTTCAAGGCTTTACAAAATACTCTTGTTGCAGAAAATTTACAACAGGCCAGTCGGATTGCATACGGAAGACAGCGGTGGCGTGTGGTAACGTTGGATGGACAACTTATTGACAAATCTGGAACAATGTCCGGAGGTGGTACTAAGGTAAATCGCGGAGGAATGAGTTCAAAATTCGTTCCTGATGTAACACCAGAGATAGTTTCGAATTTGGAAAAGGAACGAATTAGGTTAGAAAACCAATGGAGGGAATTCAACGAACAACGTAAAAGTTCTGAAGATCAACTATTACGTAAGAAGAATGAAGTTCCAGAGTTAGAACTTAATTTATCAAAGCTAGATATGGATTTAAACGCATGCATTAAGCGTATAGCCGATACTCATAAGCGAATTAACGAGTTACGGTAAGGAAATTTTGGAGTATATTTGTACCAATAGAGTAAATGATAATCTTACTTGATTTCAGTCAACAAAACAAGCCGAATGTAGAAGATGGAAAACGAATGAAGAAAATTTTGGTGGAAATCGAGAAATTGACTACAGAGTTAGAAGATTTGAAAAGTCAATCTTCAAAAATTGAAGATGAGATTAAGATGTTGCATGAACAAATTTTGCAAGCTGGTGGAGATAAACTTCGGAGTCAGAAATACCAAGTTGATTCAATAAAGGAAAAAATAGGGATGATTAATGACAGAATAACCGCCTCGCAAGTTGCAAAATCTAAGGCCGAGAAAGATGTGTCGAAACTTGAAAATTCGATTGCTAAGAATGAAAACGAAACGGAACAATTGAAGCAGGAGTTAGAACAATTCGAAGTTGATATTAGACAAAAGGCTGAACTTGCGCGTTCAATCAATGGTCGAGCTAATGAAGCGAGAAGGGTATTGATTTACAGAATACTTAAATGAATATTATACATCAACTTTACAATTTGTTCTCGTACATTGTTAGATCTTGGATGATAAGAAGGAGGAACTGGATGAAATTAAAACAGAACTTGATGAGAAAACAGAGATAATCAACAAAATCAGGGCTGTTGAAGTAAGTTTTTATTATTTGTCTTTACAACAAAAAAAAAAAAAAAGCGACAATTGATTTATGATTATCATTAATTTACAGGTAGAGATAAGAAACAAGCTCGAAGATTGTGAACGAACTTTGGCGGAAAATAAACAAAAGGAAAATCATTGGCTCGGTTTACTTAGCAAACTTACACTTCATGAAATTGGGTAAGAATATATAATTAAAGAAAATTCGGTATAAAAAATTACTCAGATTTATATTTATTGTATATTAGAGGTGAGCCGAGACCCGAATTTCAGACATATACAGATGACGAGCTTTTAGCAATGAATAAAGAAAATTTAAAGAACGAAATAGAATCACTCAATGGTATGAATTGGTAAAGCGTCATTTGTTCACGAATCATTAAATTAAAATGATGGTAACAAATTATATAGCGAAGATACAAGATGCTAATCCCAACCTCAACGTTTTGCTGGAATACCGTCGATGTGAGGAAGAGTATACATCACGCGTAAAAGATCTTGAAGAAATAACGTCGATACGTGATGAATGCAAAAGGCATTATGATGAATTACGCAAATTACGACTGGAAGAATTCATGCATGGGTTTACTTTAATTTCTCAGAAGCTCAAAGAAATGTATCAGGTAAATAGATTTGAATTGTCAAAAATGGTTAAATTTATTTATTTATTTACAGTATATTTCTAGATGATTACACTTGGTGGAAACGCAGAACTCGAGTGTTGTGACAGCCTGGACCCATTTTCCGAAGGTATTATTTTCAGTGTAATGCCTCCAAAGAAAAGTTGGAAAAATATTTCTAATCTATCTGGCGGAGAAAAGGTAATCACACCTCATTTGATCAAATTGCAAAAGAAAGAGTGACATTTAACGAATAGGTGATGATATTTTATAGACACTAAGTTCTTTGGCATTGGTGTTTGCGCTTCATCATTACAAACCTACGCCATTGTACGTGATGGATGAGATTGATGCCGCCCTGGATTTCAGAAATGTGTCAATTGTCGCAAACTATATAAAAGAGCGAACAAAAAATGCACAATTTATTATTATTAGTTTACGAAATAACATGTTTGAGTTGGCCGATCGATTAGTTGGTATATATAAAACTAACAATATGGTAAGTTACAGATCAAGGTTTCAAAGTATAATAATCATGTATAATTATCTAAGTAACTTATTGTTTTTTTAAAAAAAAAAAAAAATTTAGACAAAATCAATCACTATATCCCCGCGCGATATCATGATACAATAATATGATGTATGATAAAATGTTTTATAATAAAAATCTAATTAATGATTTCGTGATAAATAAAATTCCTTCTAATATATAGTTGGCAAGAACGTACGTACGTACTTACATACAATGTACGTACGTAGTAACTGTAGACTAATTATGATATCTAAAGGTTAACGTTAATGTACATTTTTTGCTATTTGTCACTTGCCGTATTTGTGCAAATTAAGTAACCGTAATGTGATAAAAGATGATTTGGAAAGTCATGCCGTATTTGTTTAGATTCATTAATGTTGTAGGATATTGTTGCGAGGTAAATCTTTAAGAAACAATAGAAGCGTAAAAAAAAAAAATAAAGAATAAAAAAATAGATAGAATGGAGGTTGATATGTTTGAATCGTCTCCGCATGAACTTCCACATATTGAAAGTCAGACAACGCCTGATTCTTCAGCAGCCTATAGCCCAGAAGTAGTGGAAGGACAAAATGTTCATTCTAAAGATTCAGTTACAAATACCGAAAAACAAACGAAACGTTCAGGAAAACGACGCCGTAAAACACTTGAAACAGAAGATAATCAAACACCAGCCGCAAGTTCGTCACAGCCTTGTCAAAAAAAACGGATTTTACCGCCACGTAAGGTTGGTACTCTGGCAAGTGTGTTAGCCGAAGAAGTTGCGGCCGGCCAAGGTATGCCAACGGTTTTTAGGTTTACCAAGTACGAAGATTCAATATTTTTACTTTTTATTATTACAAAATTAAAAAAAAAAAAAAAAAAAAGAACAACCACATGAACCATTCATTACCGGAGAAACGATTCTTGTGCTAACCTCTGATGAAGATATTTTACAAACATGTGAAATAGTTGAAGATAATGACATTAATTTTGATGAAGAAATGACAGTTTCGATCGCGATTGATAATGATAAAAAAGATATAATAGTTCCATCCTTTAAACTTTGGGATGAGGATGTTGGTAGTGGCTTACGCAGTAAAGCACAAGAGGTTGGTAAGAATTCAAAATTTTATTTAATATAAAACTTAGTAAATAATCAATATGTATATATATATATGTATATATATATGTATATATATATATAATATTTTATTTGTTTTTATTTGTTCATTCATTAGGAAGATACATCCGATGCAACATACGAAAAACGACATCGAAAGCATGAACTTGCAGAAAAGAAGTTAAAGAACAGGGAAAGAGAAAAATTAGAGTATGAAAGATATCAACAACAATTAGCAGTAGAGAAATTACGTAACACAGATTCTAAAAGTTTGATATCAATAGCTGCTTTACGTAGTAATGACTCGACAAGCGATGCAAGTAAATTAGAGACAGTACATAAAAAATTACTTAAAGAAGCAGAAGATCAATTAGCGCGATATGATTCTTTAGGATTAGGAGGGAAAAAGAGAAAAGCTGATGCAATAATCAATAACAGCATTAATATAGTGGGAGAAAGTAAAATTATCGAAGAACCAGAAAATAAGAAGGCACGACTTCGTATACCAAGACGTATCAGTAATGCAAATCCAGATGAAGCATTTACACCAAGTCCGAAAGATTCAAAAGAGTCGAAAGATTTGAAAGATCCGAAAGATACGAAAGATGAGACATCAACACGAATTACTCGAAGTCGTAAAAAAAAAGATGAAAATTCAACTGATGAAATAGTTAGTATTAAATCAACCGAAACAGTAGTCAAATCAAATCACAAAAAAATAAGTACTAAAGTGAAACCAAAAGGAAAAAAAGTATCAAAAACAGTTGCATCATCATCATCATCAAAAACAGTACGTTCTTCTTCATCTTCATACATTCAACAACTTGAAACTTTTATAAAACCCAATACAGCAATGCCCACAGGATCACGGAAGAGTACGCGTTCAGCACTTGCTTTTGGATACAAGGTTCCAATAAAACCCTTGGTGAAAAAAGATTTCAGTCTCCCGGTTTCTATATTTGGAGAAATGATGAGTGAAAGAGAAAATTTACGATTGCAGGAATACCAACAACCAATCGATGCCGAAGAACTTAAAAAACTCTAAAGATTTGCGTGCTAAATTAGTACGATATACGAATACACAAGAGTGTTGCAAAGTGTGAACCTGTAACTGTACTTAAATGATTTATTATGACTAGTCACAAGTTTTCACTTTGTAACACTTATTTTTTATTTTTGTAAATATAATAGTGAAATATGGTTAGATTCTGTTCATAAATATAATTATGATAATTATTGAAAATTTTTTCCTATAAATTGAAAAAAAAGAGCACAAAAATGTCGAGCATTTTTGTTGCCGATCGTAGTTTAAATTACTATAAATTTTTTTTTTTTAAAAAAAAAATCATAATTCATGTATATAGATTTCATTCATAATAACCTGCATCCTAAGAAATATCCAAAAAACGTTATTATTTTATGAACAAAATTACATCACAAGACTACCATAAAGGCATATAAAATAAATGAATATCAATCATTGAGGATCTATTATCGTTATATATAGAAAATAAAACGTGGATTTTGCCTTAATGTTGTGGGTTTGTGCGCAAGTTTGTATATAAGATTGTATCGATATTCACGCCAAGTTGATCTGCGTCCCCACAAACAAAAGCCTGGCGTCACGTTTGCTGTCAAATGACACTTCGCATATGATAATGTCTGATAATATTTGATGTTCGATAATGCATGATTATTTGCTGATCTTTAGTATTGTATCAGTACACAGTATGATAAAAAAATATTTCGAGTTTCCTTTAAATTAGGATCACTCTGTCTTATTAAAATGGGAAGAGTACGAAGATCAAGAACTCATAAAGGTATGCTTGTTGAATGACCTTGTAGTTTTCAATAGTCTGAACTTGTTATTACTATTCAATGTGAACTTCTTTATTTCTTTAATTTATGCATATGTAACCTTTAGAATTCTTTTAGTAAAGCTTTTCATGATTATCATAATTATTGACAAAGCCACTAAATTTGCTACATTTTTTTTAAAAAAAAGCCATATGTATAAATTGCTTTAATTAAAAAAATATATATTTAAAACCATATTAAAATTTTTATTAATAGGTATAAGAGATCAATATAAAAAACAACGAACAAGAAATTATACCAAAGATTTGGATCAAATTCACAAAGATTTGAAAGAATTAGATGAACAGATGGTGCCAAACCAAGAATTAGATCCAGATTTACCAGGATTTGGAAAATATCCTTGTGTAGCTTGCGCGTAAGTATTGAGTTTCAGAATGCAATAAAATTATTTAGATCAACGTTAGAATCGTTAGATAATGATGTTGATTTTATAACCTTTAAATGGTTAGACGTTATTTCATAAGTCAAAAAGCCCTTGATGAACATAATCGTGGTAAATTACATAAAAAACGGTAATTAAAAATTGATTAATTTCACATGAGATTTTTTTTTTTTTTTAACATTTATGATATTCATAATAAATAATAAAATAATAAAATAAATTTAAATAGGATCAAATTACTTAAGGAAGTTCCTTATACACAAGCTGAAGCCGAAGCAGCTGTTGGTTATTCTACAGAACACTCAAGGATCAAAGTAATGGAGGATGTTAATTGTTGATCTCGTATAAAAATAAATCCATGAAAAAATATTTTATTGGAGGTTTGGGGAGGTAATTTTAAAAAAGTACGATCTTGTGATTGTAGTTTGTATTACTATCGCTATTGTTAATAAGTAAATCCATATTTTATTTAAGACTACGTGTAAAAATAATTTGATTTGTACTACTCGAAATGATTTATACGAAGTGATAACCGAATTAAGGGAGTGAGACCAATTGAGACCAATTGAGAACAGCTTGCATGTGGTAGTGTGGGGAAGGAACAGGATCTGTGTAAACTTTGTTGGCGTTTTTTCCCAAGCCCTTATTACACCATGCATCGAGAATTTGAATTTTTTTTTTTCAATCAGGTTTTTGAAAAAAAACTAATATGATTGCTTTTCATCATTTTCACTTTCGTCGGTCTCTAAACTTTTTTCTTCCCTTTTTGAATTATGAAGAATTTCATTGGCTAAGCTTACTATAATCGGCAGTGTTAACGATAACTCCTGCTTAGTGATGCCTAACGTCAAGCATTGCATTCGCTAAATAATTCTGGAATTGGATAATTTGTGTAGCTCAAAAAACTTTTGAACAAAACTTGTGTAATTACGTAGTCTGATTAATAATAAACCTCTTTTTAGATAAATCTCAAGGTATATGCTGGAATAATATTTTATTCTACATTACTATTTTTTTTTATAATGAATCAAAAAAGCTTGAAGTTTTACTTGTATTCTGTATATGGTATATGGTATATTTTTATTTTATTTATTAGTAACCTATTCTAATGTTAATATTGTCATTTTATTAATAAATTTTTTATTAATAGAAATGTGTAACATAAAATCTCAAAAATCGGGACCTCATAAAAAAAACGTCTGGTTAGTTAAAGTGAAAACCCCATGACTAAACGTAAATGATCGATGTGTCTTACTTTCTTGACTCTTTAGTGATAATGCAGAAAATGAGATTGCTTATTATTGATGTGTTACAATCTGTACAATATCAAATTCTATATACAATATATACAATATATAAATAATGAAATCGATCTGTTCGACGATCATCTGACGATCAAATCCGTGAAAATGGTAAAAATGGGTACGTATAACCGTATAGTAACCGTAGTTGATATTTGAATCGGACCATTTTTCTTAAAAAGATAGTTACGTAATACATGTTCTTTCCAATTTTTTCCAATTTTTTCTCCACCTTTTTTTTTTTTCTTCAAAACTTAGTGTGGATTGGGTAATCTTGCATGGGATCACAAACATTATCAGATAGAATGACAGAAATGATACGTGAAAGTCAATAGGGTCCTTTATTATTATTATGAGAATAATTATGTCCCCTAATATTATCGTTTCATATATCGATATATTCTCTTTCCATCCGTTCGGTTTTTAATTTCGCGCTTAGCGCTCAATTTTTACGCAATGCCTACGTACGTACGCACTTACACTACTAATCCACAACAGCGGAATTTTAATATATTAAATATTGTACTTTTTTAATATCGATATGATTTACCGTACATCCTAAATCCTATTGTGTATTTATTTATGTGCATGGTAAATGCAAATACTGTACTGTATTAAACTACCTGTCAATATCCTGTAATTGAATAATTTTTTATTCCCTTTTTTTTCATCCCCCATTTTTTCCGCAACGAACATTTTCGTATATAAGTCACTTAAAATTCGTATGTTGAATCGAGAAACTCTACAATTTTTTTCTTAAAAAAAAAAATCATTTTATAAACATAAAAATTTTTTTTAAAAAAAAAATACAAAATAGAAAAGTAGTATTTTTTTTTTTTGTTATAGACATTCATAAAAAAAAATGTCAATTTTTGGACAACAAATAAATCTTTTTGTATTCTTTGGTTTGAACGGTTCACAAAGAATCGAACTTTTTCAATGGTTATTGGTAACCATGGCTATCTTTTTGACAGTTGTATGCTTCCTTTATTCTTTCATATTCTTCTATATTCTTTTGTATTATTTCTATCCTAACTTTTTCTTTTTATTGTTATTTATTTATTTATTGATTTTTTTTTTTGTAAAATTCATTCGATTTTATGTCCAATTAGATTCCCACAAGTATTTTATCTCTAGCTCAAAATCGTAATCGATCCTTAACTTTCACCGCAATAATATCACCGGAAGACAGTCAAGTTTTACCAGGAATTGTTTTAACTCCTCACCTTACATTGAATAGTGACTTTGTATGCATTATGTGCGCATGGATAATTACTTTGTTTGGTGTATTTAATTTTATGCGAAAAAATAACGTTGTTGGTCAATTTGTATCCTTTTTTTATAACCTTAATATTTCGTACTTTTGATTTGTTTCTATTTAATATAGCATACATTTGATCTACTGCACTTATTGATTATTGCATAAATCCTTAACCTCTCTACATCTTTTCTTTATAGGTTTCTATGTTCCTTATTGCATTCACCGTGATCCAAACTGTTACAGCTGCATATAATGTATTGTTTAGTAACAGTTGGATTTTAAAAATTCTAAATGGTTCATTGCAAAAAGCTTATAATTTAGATCCTGATCTGATAAAAGAATTCGAATATGAGGTAATACCATAATTTATTTGTTTGCGTTTCACATCTCATCCCCAATCTCAATAAATTAACTTTTATATTTTTTTCATTAGCTTTCATGCAATGAATATTCAATAATTGATCGATCCAGTGAATTTGTTGATAATTGTCATAATATCATTTTAATGAACCGATTTGGTCCCCAATTATTTTATGTGGCCAAAATCGTACTTTTTTCAAGATTAATTCAAGTAATTTTATTATTTCATTTATGTTGTCCTTTATAATCTGATTGTATAATTTTTTTCACATTATTTTATATATATTTCTATCAGTTGATAGGTGTTCTTATGCATACCTTCATATTCGATTGTATTACAATGTACGACATACGACAATATATTTGTAGGGATGATAGTGAAGAACGCTTGTGCGGTAAAGATAAAGGCCTTATAACTAATTCTAATGCTGATGAATTGGAGGTGCAAATTATTTCAAATTCTTCCTCAGCAAGATGAAACAAGTTAAATTGACTTTAACTTGTGAATCTTTAAATTCCGCTGAATTAATTTACATTTAGCATTACATGGTCAACCGAAGATATATATGCATTTCATTCAGGTTACTTTTAAAAAACTCATACTCATTACACTTGATTTTGTCGTTGTTTATTCTGTACACTTTTTATTACCTTTTTTTTTCGTTTACATCCTATTTTGTAAATATTAATTTGTACAAAGGGATTTTTCTTTTTTTTTTAAACCAATTTGTAAATGATTTTATAAAAACAAAAAAAACCTGTATAATATTGTATCCATAGGCAGAATTATATATATATATTTTAAATACGTAATTAGTTAATTACAGTTTTTTAGTTTATAATATAATACTAACTATAGATGCAAAAAAAAGATTTACCCCAATTTATTATCATGTTACATATTTAAATTTTAATACTTATGTGTGTAACAATTAGGGTTCGGGATACAGCGGCCAAATCCCAAACCATTATAGTTTGAGTTTGTTCGCGCCCAAATCCCAAGCCCAAACTAATATCTTAACTTTATTAATAACCTTTATTCAAACAAATGATATATATTCTTATATCTGTATATAATATATTTACGAAATATCAAAATTATTTTGTTGATTTAATTTTTTATAAAAGCAATTTGTTTTTTTGGGATTTGGGATTTGTTCAACAAGTATAGGCGCAAGGACATGCCCATACTTAACTCTAACCCTCCCTAACCTATAGAAACCTTGATTTACGTTACGTGATTGGCTGGTGACGGTATATTATCACGTGATAATATCCCAAACCTAGTAGCAATTATGAATTTGACATCCAATTGAGATTCGAATTCAGGATCAAATGTTTTTATAGCTTGCAAATAGTTTTGCAATCTAAAATATTAATTTAAAAGCAATACTGTTTTTTTATTAAAAACTTGTTTCTAATAATTTTAAAAACTATTTGTTAGATGCGTAAGGTTTGTTTAATAAATCGGGTTTAATTTAGCCAATTATTAATTAGTTTTAATTTAATTAGCTATAAATAGATTTTAATATAACAGTTACAAATTGGTTTATAATATAATTTTTTGTTTTTTTTGTTTTTTTTATAAATTTGAGTTTTATAATTTAATAATTAAATTTTCAAGCTCTTATAAACAAGATTAACAGTTTAATAACTAGAATTGACAAATGCAAGAGGTGTACAAGAGAAGAAAAAGCAGTAGGAAATAGCTGTCAACAAGATAAATACAATTTCAAATGTGCTAATAGGAAGAAATAACAACATAATTAAAGTAGCTACTAATCAACTAATAAAATATACAAAAACAGAAGAGTTGAGAAAAAATGAACAAAAGTTAACAGAACTTAAAATGTTAGAAGATTTAGAAATAGAGTTAATTAAGAAACAAAAGCTAAAAAAGAACATTATTCAAGAGTTAATAGAAATTCTAAGATGAAATATATTAAGAGACAAGAACAAATATATGATATATATAGATAATGCAGCAAATAGAAGAAACAAAAAAGAGACAAGAGATATAAACATAAGTATAAGATGTATACAAATAAGTAAAACACAAGATTAGTCAAAAAAAAAGATAGCATTAGAGATCTACATCTACTACAACTGAGATATTAGCAATATGGGTAGCAGTTTTAATAATATTAAAGAAACAAAAACTAGAAATATTTACAGATAACAATATAGCAATTAAGAACATTGGTAAAAATTAGTATGTATAGATAGGAATGAAGTTCTTAAAAAGAAAAATGCATTATAGATATTGAAAATAATTAATGTAATTAGAAAAAAAAACATATAGACAGAGTAAATCAAAATAAAAAGTTATACTAAAAACAAATAAATTAATAAAGCTGATAGTCTTGTAAAGAAGAAAACATTAAATAATATTTTTAAAAAAAGTTAGCTATAAAGAGATAAAATACTGTCTAAAATAAAAAAACAAATGAATAAACTTACTAATAAGACTTCTATATAAAATAATAACAAATACCAGATTAGAAGCAGAATGAAAGAAAACAATAGTAATTAAAAACATAAAACTAGTAACAGAAACAATAATATATGATTAAATATACTTTTGAATAAGACTAAAGTCATCTAAAGGAGTGAATTACTTGACAAGAAAAAGCAGTGCAAAAAGAAGTGTTTTCATGAAATATGTATTGAACAATTTTCAACTTTGAAAGAACAACAGAAAAAACCAGATATATACACAATAGCAAAATGTTAAGTTTGTCAAAGCAATTTTTTATTTTTTTTTTTTTTTAACCTTAAGCAGTTACGCTAGTACTTTATTAAGATTTTTGAAACTATATATTTTTATAATTACATAGAATTTCCCAATACTCAAGTCCAGCATCACTCGGCCACCCATTTGGTACCTAAGTGCAACCTGCCGCACTATCTTAGTTAGAGATAGACTGC